TTTCCGACCCGGACAATTTTAGGGGTCTACAGTCAGAAAATCCCTCTTATGGAACCTGTGGTGCATGCTCGCTTCCGCGGCCAAGATCGAGGCCATGATGGGGTTTTTTGGCAACAAAGAAAATCTCACTCAATGCTTCCTTCAAAACACGCGCAATCCCCTCACCTACAATATCTAGGGTTTCCAATTGAATCGTTCGACTCAACAAAGATTCAATCCATGGTAGGGATTCTTGTGTGATTGACGCTCGGCAGTGGTGTGGGTGGTGGTGGAGATGAACGCGGCGTCGATGGAGACGACGGAGGTGCTAAGGAAGATGGGCGTGATGTATAGGCATTTGGTTTGCAAGAAGAATTCGACAGATGTGAAGGACAGAGGGGTTCATCAGAGGAACACGGCGTTGGAGCACATTGAGCGCCATAGGCTTGATGGGATTGTTTTCTTTGCGAACGATGATAATGTGTATTCTCTCGAGTTATTTGATGCCTTGAGAGACATTAGGTACTTACTACTTACTTGCTTTCTCTTGCTTGATTGCATTGTTGTTTGTTCGTTTCGTGTTTTTCCTTCATGTTTGGAATTTGAGTTATTGTGATGATGGGTTTGCATCTGATTCGTGTTATCACGCATGTTTTTGGAATTTTGCCTCTTGTTTGTTTGTTTGTTGCCTCAAGTTACTTACACGGCTCAAAATATTTCATAGAAGTTACTGATCATGGTCTGGTTCCAAGACACGTCAAGAAGGTTGCTATCCTTGGTGGAGGACTAATGGGCTCTGGTATAGCAACAACTTTAATCCTTAGCAACTATCCTGTCATCTTGAAAGAAGTAAATCAGAAGTTCTTGGATGCTGTTTAACACAACAATTCTAAAAGAAATATCTTTTGCTGCCAATAGAAGTGATTAGCAATTTAATATGCATACTGCAAAGAAATATCACACTATTAATATTTCTATTATTTTCATTTTCACATTTCTAAAAATTCTCTAAAATTCTATACAATTTTTAACTTGGATATTAACAATTAGAAATTTGATTTAATCTAATATGCATACTGCAAAGAAATAACACACTATTAATATTTCTATTATTTTGATATTCACATTTCTATAAATTCTCTAAAATTCTATACAATTTTTAACTTGGATATTAACAATTGGAAATCTGATTTAATCCGAGATGTTGCTTGAAAGTTGAAAATAATAATCTTTAGTTTTTTAATGGTATGTCTTATTTTTACCTTTGTTTCCATCTAGAATTAGCATTTACGTTGATGATTCAGATAGAGTCACAGTTTTAATTTTTTGTAATTCAAAATTGGTTAATAAAATTTACTCCCTTTGCTGAGTTTCTCTAATTTAACTTTCATTTTATTGTTGTAGTACTTATTGAGTTAGAGAAGAAAAAGATTAGCACGTGCATAATAATTGCGGCTGTAATAGCAGCAGTTGCTTGTGTTTTAGCAATATCTGCAATAATCATTCTCCTGATGTCTAGAAGACATAAGAAATACCAGCCCAAGTTTTCCAGGAAACGGATGTGTAAGTATTATAAGGCTTTCAACAAATTATATCATTTTCATATTATCTTTGAAGAAAGAGACTTAAATTCTTATTTCTTTTTGTAGCCTCTAATATGTCTATCAAAATAGATGGCATGAAAATATTTACTTACAAAGAATTGGCTCTTGCTACTAAAAAATTTGATAAGAATGAACCTAACTATTAAGTCGGATTGAATCTCTTAGTTCTTGAGCCAATATGCCTATTGTTTGTCTTCTTTAGTCTGTTTAAGGCTTTAAGCCTTTTCTTATGTTTGTTCTTTCATTTGATCTGGTTTTGTGTGTTTGTTCTGTTAAGCTCACATGTAAGATGGACTTATCACTAATAAGGGGCAAATGAATTGAAGGCTGTAACAAATTTCTATATTGAATCTATCACTAGATATTTAAGTTATGTCAATGTGTCCTATAGTTCTTTTCTTGGAATTTTTCATTTTTTTTATATATTTACATAAGCTTATTTTTTCTTATCACAAATATAATTTGAGTCTAGACATAAGTTTTTCCACATTAACTTGACATTTGACATTGATAACAACATTATTCTCATATACTCTTTTCTGTTGGTTCAGATGCTGGTTTATGAATTCAAGGAACTGAATTTCTGGAATGAAATTGTTGGGATTTTTTGCATTAAAATTAGCACTTCTTTATATTTCAAATATATTGATACCTACTTTTTATTTGGTTTGTGCATAACTTTTTTCCTTCTTCATGTTTTCTTCTCTCCAGTTTTATGCTTCATTCATAAAAATATTTTATATATTCATGTAACATAGAACACATTCTTAAATGTTTAGGATTGTATAATAAGTTTAATTTAGCTTTTCAAATCTAAATTTTGACAATCTTCATTTGCCACTGAATAGGAACGACAGCAAATAACTTAATAACATATTATACCTACTATTATATAATGATTGAACCCTTAAATCAGTTTATGCAATTTAGGAAATAACCAACCGCTATTCATTTGGTACTTTTTCTTTGGAGTACAATATTCCCGTATTCACTCTGGCCATACCTCTTCATCTTGACGAAGTACTGTTTATCATGACTTAGAAAAGATAATTGTTTCATAAAAAACAAGTGTAGAATTACATGCAAAGACTATTTATTGATTGACATGTTCCTTCTATATATGATGAATCTATATTTTTGTTTAACACAGTAATAAATGCTTCGTGTATATGATTTTTTTGCATCAATCAAGACCTTTTGACAAATAACAAAATAGCCCAAGAAAATAAGGGGTTCATGGCATGTAAATATGATTTTTTCATGTTTCTTGAACTTAACAAGCTGTGTCTTTATTGTGGTACTCAATTATATCACTTTCCAATAGATAATTTTGATCTTCTCTTGCCATTAGTATTGCCCGCTAATGGATTTTATATTATTCTATTGCAGAGTGCCTCGGTGGAGCAGGCAAAGGCGCGGTTGTAAGAAATAAATAGCTCGTTACGTGTTTACTTTATTTAATTTTCCGTGCCCCGATATATCTTCTATCAAGTGGTAGGAATTACACAAATTGTTTTTGTGTAATTTGTAAACAAATTTCTAAAGCTATAATTATATATGTTCATTACAGGTAATCAGGAATAATCAAAAAATAAGCATAATTTTTTTTTTATTTTTAAAAATGTAATCTACATCGGTTCTCTGGAGAACCGATGTAAAAATGTATACATTTTCTACATCGCTCTATTCTACATCGGTTTTAGAACCGATGTAGATGACTTTAGAGAACCGATGTAAAATATGCATCTTGTAGTAGTGTGTGCATGTTAATCGAATAATGAGATCACTAGTAATCAAGTGCAAACTCGATACATCAAATTAGAAACACTTAAGAAACCAGTAATTACGCAAGAAGACTGGGGGGCATAACACCCCCAAATTGATGATTCAAAAACTGAGAGTTCCCCATGCGGAAATGACAACTGTTGGGATAAGAGGAATAATCAAGAATGGATGAATCCTTACTTCTAGGGAATTACAAGACAAAATCCAATTAAAGAATAAATGCATTGCATGACAAAGACCCGCTACGATGAAAACCCGTAAAGGATGTCCTAGGCAAAAATTAGGGTGAAGAAAAAAGAATCAAAATCTCGATAGGATACGTCCTATGCAAAAGTTAAGGACATATAAAAATAAGAAATGTCTATCTAAGTTGGAATCGAAAGGTGGCTCGAGTATTCCCTTCGAAAGCAAGAATTCATAAAGGTTTCACTCCAAATTCAAAACATCGACGTTCAAGCAAGTTGAACGGTTTTTTTGAAATTATCAATTCATCCATGACTCTCTAGGGGGAAACCTTGGTTAATCTCTCTGTGTACGAATCACGAACTCGGGGAATGCCCGGGCCTCCGAGCTTTGCAAAAAGGGCACATGTAAATTGGAAGTACTATTTTAAATGCCATAACATTCTTTCATTTCTCTTCTCCCTTTAAATATTCACTCTAGGCCTCATCCATTAACCCTTACTAAACAATATGTATTTACGACAAAGATGTTACTCAATAATAGCATGGAAAGGATAACAAAGGAACAATCAGGAATCTAAACATGACTGGGTTTAATAAAAATAGGGCGTCCTATACAAACGTTGCAAAAATGAAAGCCTGGTAGAAACCCACTAAGGGGGGCTACGCAAAATTAGGGCAAGATCCTCTTTCTTCTTTTCTCTTGACCCTTATGGCATTAAAATGGTACCGAAAAGATACATGGAAAATGCACAGTGAATACTCGTAGAGGGAAGACCGAGACGTCCCTGAAAGGAGTTTGAAGACGCTTAACTATAATCGAGCCACTGAAACCTTGAGTTCAAAAGAACATATCTCAGCGATAATCACAAACGGCATGGATAAAAAGGAATCGTTAACATTAACCTTAACGTGCACAGGTTAATTTCCCGACATTAAAAAAAATTGAATTGCATGTTTAGGACTAAACACCAGCATAAACTACATCGCATGCATATGAGGTAGGGGCATATGGAAGGTCGTTACACAAAAAAATGGAATAAATAAAAGAATCATTCCTGTCTTGCATTTTCATTGCATCCATGCATCCATGTATTTTACTTGCTATGGGTCAAAAGGAGTCATTAGGACAAAGCACTCGTAAAACCAAAATAGCCGAGCATGAGCCAAAGTGGTGTCAAACAACAACCCTAAGTAATTCCATGTGTCCACTAAGCAAAGACATATCAACAGTGGAATAGAATGGAATCGACCAAACAAGCAAGTCTATAAGCATGAAGAGGCCACCACGCCTTACTTCTTCACCAAATGAAAGATGATCCAAGAGAATGCCAGACTAGGAATGGATGGTTTCCTCACCAAAGCCAGGAGTGGCTTTCGAAATAATACTCATTAATAAAGATTCAGCAAATAACATCATCATGGGATGGGATCCCTGCACCAATGATGACAACACAAGATAAAATAGAAAAAGGCAAGCTTCGTAAATGTTGAAAAAGCCAAAACATTTAGAAAAATAGCAGAAAAAGGCAAGCTTCAAACATGAAAGAGCCGAAGCTAAACAAAAATGAAATTCAGAAAAAACCTCTATCACAAGCAGATGCCTAGAGAGGCATCACAATACTCACATGGCAGGGGCAACACCAGAATCCCTGTCAACCATCTACTCCTTTGCCCGCCAGCACAAGGGCACCACCTACTAGCAATCCTCGTCTTCATCAGACGTCCTCCCCAAAGAAAAGGGGCAATCACATCATTATCTACAGCCTAGAGAGGCTACGAAAATACTACGGCTTAGAGAGGCTACGAAAATACTACGACCTGGAGAGGCTATAAAAATACTACAGCCTGGAGAGGCTACAAAAATATTACGGCCTAGAGAGGCTATGAAAATATTACGACTTGGAGAGGCTATGAAAATACTACGCCCTGGAGAGGCTATGAAAATACTACGCCCTAGAGAGGCTATGAAAATACTACGGCCTGGAGAGGCTACAAAATTAGAACGGGTCGTTCCAAGCCACTAAAAAGGCTTAAAAACCTAGTCTGGAACTGGCCGTTCCAAAACTAGAACGGACCGTTTGAAAACCAGAATGGGTCGTTCCAAACCAGGAAAAAGGCCTAAAAATTTTAGGCTAGAACGGGTCGTTCCTAAACCAGAACGGGTCGTTCCAAACTGCTAAATAGCCTAAAAAACCTAGTTTGGAACGGGCCGTTCTAGCAATGCATTTTTGTGTTAATCTCAACCCCAGAACGGGCCGTTCTGGTTTCAAAACAGGTCGTTCCAGGGTAAGAATTTAACACATAACGTTCAGATCTAGAACGGACCATTCTGAATTTGGAATGGGCCGTTCTGGCACCCTTCTGATGCTTATAAATAGACAACTTGGGCACAGTTCTCTAGGGCCTCAAAAATTTCGTCCATGACTCCTTAGAGCTTAAAATTTCTCTCTCTCTCTCTCCTATTGTATTTCTTGAGTTTTGTGAGGCATATTGTATCGTGAAAAGTTGCCGCAAAGCACCTAAAATCTCCATAGTTGAAGATCTAATAAAGCTTGCTACGAGGTATTACTCATTAATCTCTTGTTCTATCTTTCTCTTCTCTTATTTCATATATTGCTATAATAAACGCAATCATGTAGATATCTTAGGGTTCATCGTGTAATTTAATTTTCATGTAAATAATCATTAATAAAGGGGATTAAATATTTAAACTAATAATTCTTATTACGTTATTTTCATCATAGGGTACCGATTTAGGGCATTTTAGAGTGCTTAATACCTTCCCTACACATAACCGACCCCCGAACCCAATTCTGGTTATCAAGGCCATTATTGGACTTTTAAAAACCTTTTCTTTTTCCAATGTTTTGAGTAAAACATTGGTGGCGACTCCATGAACCTATTTTCAAAACCATTAATTAAAGGGCGTTGTAGGGGTGCTTAATACCTTCCCTACACGTAACCGACCTCCGAACCCAATTCTGGTTATCAAGGCCATTATTGGACTTTTAAAAACCTTTTCTTTTTCCAATGTTTTGAGTAAAACATTGGTGGCGACTCCATGAACCTATTTTCAAAACCATTAATTAAGGATTAGTCTGGTGTCCGGGCATTCCATAATTGATGAGATTTTCAAAAGGATGTCTAAATCATAGGTCGCAAGATCGAACATTTTCGAGTTGCGACAATGTTATATTGTATCTGAAACAAATTGATAGATTATATTTGTCATCATCAAAAAAGGGAAGATTGTTAAGTCCGACGAAGAAATTTTCGACAAGGTTTTGAACATGACAAATATAATGCATATTGTTATTTCTAACGTGTGTGTTAGTGTTTCAGATAAATATAAGAACAAACTGAAAAATGGAGTACGCGTTATTGCGTATACCATGTTTGGATGAGCTACACAAAACATCAAACAATGGTTAATCAAGCATCAAGACTAAAACTTGTTCAAAAGCCATATACAAGACAAAGCATACTCGCAGTCAAAGTTTTGAAGTATCAGACGAAAGGCCAAAACAAGCATCAAACAAGGCTAAGTCAAGAAGAAGACAAAGTTGGATCTTAATGATCAACTAGAAGAAGGTCAAAAGTATCAAAAGATGGACAATCTAAGATAAAGAAACATCCCAGACGGGATTAGAAGTCTTCCATCTGCACAGCTGACCAGACGAAAGAAAAAAAGTCAAACTAGATGAAAGGAAAAGTCAAAGTCTATCTCTTAAACAGAGACTCAAAATCAAGATGCAGACGAAGAATATTGAAAAGCGTCTGAAGTCTACTATTCACAATGAGGAATATCATATATTGTCTACAAGAGCACACCGAGTCATCAAAAATGTGAAAAGAAAGAAGAAAAATAGAATAGCGCGAATCCACAAGTCATAGTTGCGTGTGTCAGAGCAAGTACACCTACTTTTCAGAAAAGACAACGCCTCTACAACTATAATCAATGTCGCAACCCGAAAATTTCCGATCTTGCGACCTATGGTTTAGACATCCTTTTAAAGATCTCATCAATTGAGGAATGCCCGAACACCAGACTAATCCTTAATTGATGGTTTTGAAAATAGGTTTTATGGAGTCGCCACCAATGTTTTACTCAAAACATTGGAAAAAGAAAAGATTTTTAAAAGGTCCAATAATGGCCTTGATAACCAGAATTGGGTTCGGGGGTCGGTTACGTATAAGGAAGGTATTAAGCACCCTTACAACGCCCTAAATCGGTACCCTATAATGAAGTTAACATGATAAAAAATAATAAATTAAATATTAGATCCCCTTTGTTAATAACTATTCACATGCTTGAAATTTAAATTATACGAATGACCCTAAAATATCTACATGATTGTTTTTATTATAATAATGTTTATCAAAGATAAGAAACAAAGATAAAAAGTAAAGGAGAGAGAAGAAGATTCACTGAAATACCTCGTATAAAGCTTTGTTAATGGTGATTCTAGGTGCTTTGTGGCAACCTTTCACACTACAATACCTCACAATATCTCAAGAAATACAAGTGAAAGAAAAAGAAAGAAAAAAGAGAGAAAAAGAGAGAAATTTCCAGCTCTGGACGAAATTTGGAGT